TGCTAGACAATTTTCGGCCAAATTGTGGTTCTGTCTGAGCTAGACTCGACTTTTCGTTGGGCCTCAACCTAAAGCTAGCTTCCATAGCATCGAAAATCGCTAATATGCCCGCAGTATAAGCAGAGTATATATAATATATTACGTACCTTAAGTTTCTGTCGAACAAACCAGATTCCGCTGAGGTTTTCCTGGAACCAGACAACGGGCTTAACCCAGCCATCTGTTAATTTGCAGTGTCGTGCCGGCAAAGCAACAATTGCTACAATAACTCAAATATACGTGCATACTATAAATTAAACTGGCAAGTGCAAACTGAGGCGATAAAAGTCCAAGCAGGCCTTCCTAAAATACACAAAAAACAACTTAAAATAATTAAAAAACAATAATAGAAACAGTTTACAATTAGCTTAATCATTTGCAAAATTTGCGGCTGCTTTGCATAGTTAAGATTCCTTACTTATGAATGGAATGAAGCGAATTGTGTTAGTTGTTGGCTAAAAGTTGTTGTCTATGTTTGGACTGATCTTTTACAACTAAGGAAGATAGAGGGCGGGAATGGTCTTTAAACGCTTGTATAAGAGCATCTAGACATTTTCCTGCTAATTTTGCTAACTCTTGCTTTTAAAACTGCGAGAGCTCAAGACTTAAGCAAACCTGGTGAATGAAAAATTGTAACATCATCTGACTGAAACGTAAAATCTCTAGCTTTGAGCTTTGAGCTCCCAAACACCTCCCACTTTTGATATTTTCAATTTTTTTTTTTGGGTAGTTTGACATCGCCCGAACCACTGTGCAGCTGTTAAACGACGCACTCATACGTATGTGTGTATGCGTGAACATGTTATTTACAGCACTATTTTTGGGCGGCGGGAGGCTTGTTATTACATCTTATTCCTGTCGTAACTGTTGCCGTGCTGCCATGCTGCTGCTGGCAATCTTATTACGATAAGGTTCGGTGTTCATCTAACTGCGCCTTCAGTGAGCATTGCGGGCACACAGCATAGATGCGTACATAGCTATGTATATATTTTATACTTATATACTTAACTGCCCTGGGCTGCACTCGGCACCAGTCACCCACTGGCATTGTAGTGTACTAAAACTGAAATATTGCAGCGCCAACAGCTTCATCCGGGGTCCGGGGTCATATGTAGAGCAGCAGAAACATCGTTGCCGACGACGCGTCGTCACGCTTAGTTACTGAAATAAAAGTGACGGGCTTTTTTTTTCGTACTCTTAAAGAGGGTTGTATAAATTTATCAAAGAATTCGAACTACTTATGGGCAAACATTCATAAGGATTCAAAATTGATCCGATACTACATTCTACATTCATCATATTTAATGCACTCAGATGGAAAGTTCGCAAGTGTTAATGAGATTAAAGATATATTATGCATAACTGCCAGACTGCCAGGGTATTTAATCTTCGGCACACTTCTTCTTTGTTTTTCCATTTAAATTTTCTGTTCCAAATTTTCATGACTGTAGCAGCCACAAATTTACTGAGACGAAAGCCAACTTCCGCTTCGTTTTCGCAATCTCATTATCACTTGATTGTATGCTAATTTAAATAGCTAGACTCTTATACCCTTGCGTAAATATTATAATTTTGACACGAAAAGTGTGACGCATACAAGTAGAGAATTTCGAACAAATATAGCATGTATGAACGTGTCTTGATCAGATCTTGATATTCTATAATCTCTCAGTTTTAAGGCTGTCTTCACAAATGTATTATATATTGTATGAAAAACTTCTGTCTTTTGGGAAAACTCAACCAAACTCAGCACATGAGAACATGTATTATATATTATAAACGGAATCCTTATCAACCGGAATTATATATTTGTTGGTAATATTTTTTGTGTGAAAGAGACTGATGACAAACAATTAAATAATTATCTTATAAATAAGCTTATAAATCTGCATATGACAAATACTAAACATATCTCGGAGATGAGAGCTGGAAACCCACAATTTGCTATTTAGGCTCACGTATATTCAATATTTTTCCAAAATTAACAGTATATGCATTTTAGGAGGTATAACCCAACGCTCAGTATATGCAAACAATTGGATGCCGTTAGTTAAATAGGGCTTATGCAAATTCCATATATCTGTTGTACTTTTGTGTATAATGTACAGGGTATCTCCTCGTTGAGCATTGTAACTTGCATTTTTTTATTATGTGTAATAATGTCAATTTGTAATATGGCTCTCGTAAACCAAAAAACTAGGTGGTGCACTTTTTAAAGTTTCTGCCACTTGGCACGCATTTTGCATAATGCTAGGAAAATACGTTAATATCCGGCTTATGCAACTAATGTTTTAGTATGGCATCGTCACATTTGGCTCGAACGCTAATTATACCCTGAACCCATCAAAAATGGGTATAAGGGTATATTGTATTTGTGCAAAATCCAAATGTATGTAACAGGCAGAAGGAAGCTTCTCCGACCCCACAAAGTATATATTCTTGATCAGCATAAATAGCCGAGTCGATCTAGCCATGTCCGTCTGTCTGTCCGTCCGTATGTATGAACGCAAGGATCTCAGAACCTATAAGAGCTAGAGCAATTTTAGATGTAGATGCTCCTAGTTCCCGCGCAGATCGAGTTTGTTTCCGATAATCGATAACTTACTCCGTTTCGAAGCAATCGATAAAAATCGATATCGATATCCTGTTTTTGTGCAATTTTGATCAATAATAAGAGCTAGAGTCACCAAACTTGACATATAGCTTCTAAAATAGAATATATATATGCATTTGATGTTGGAAGAAGAGAAGGGAGCTCCCGACTAGAACCTCTTACTTGATTAATATTATGTCATGCAAATGGCTTGGGTATGCAAAGTAAGTATATTGATTTAGATAAAGCTACCTATTTATATGGCTTGAATAAATCCAGTGGAGAGAGCTCGATTGGGACAGTACTTCGTTTAGCATAATTTAATGAATCTCACTTGAGATACTCAAAAAAAGGTGGACTTTGCAAGCGAAACGTTTTTTAGCCAACAACTTTTTTTTAATGAATGCCATATGATAGTAGGAATCCGTACGCATTCAAAAAGATTTAACATTTTAAAATGAGATTATATTTACGCGAGATTTTCAAAAGAATCGTCAAACAAGGTGAGATATTCGAACCTACTCCGATTTTGGAAAAAAAATGTGATGTAACCCCTTGCTTTTTTGTCAGTTTGGATCAAATGATGCCAATCGATAGTACTGATCCCTACGAAATCAAAAATTGTATAAAATTCCAATATCTGAGATTATTTGGCCGAGATAGTCTAAAAAAATTATCAAAAAAGGTTGATTTTACAAACGAAACGTTTTGTGGTCAACAACTAATTTCAACCCATCAATTTATAATTTCTTTGAATGCCATATGATAGTAGGGATCCGTACGAATTCAAAAAGGTATAATATTTTAAAATCAGATTATATTTACCCGAGATTTTCAACAAAAATATTCAAAAAAGTTTTGATATTCGAACCTACCCCGGGTAATAGCTCCGCGCGGAGTTATGTCGTTTTGGAACGTCATATCTCCAATTGGAGCTATGTCGTTTTGGAACGTCATATCTCCAAGCGGAGTTATGTCGTTTTGGAACGTCATATCTCCAAGTGGAGTTATGTCGTTTTGGAACGTCATATCTCCAAGCGGAGCTATGTCGTTTTGGAACGTCATATCATTTCAACCCCTCAATTTTTAATTTGTTTGAATGCCGTCTGATAGTAGGGATTCGTACGAATTGAAAAAGGTATAACATTTCATAAACAGGATATATTTACCCGAGAGTTCAAAAAAAAAATCGTCAAAAAAGTTTGTTTTTTTTATATATATGTTTATTGTATTGAATCAAAAAATAGCATACATTTTAATTACAAAACCGTTAACTTAGGTGGTATCTCGCCAATCCTGGTTGGCTCCTCAGGCTTTATCGTGGACAAACGTCAAAGCCGTCTTCTTTGAGTAAGGCTGCTCCGTCACGTAGGTAGTCAGTGGGCTCTGGGGCTTCTCCTGTGTCGTGGTTAGAGGAGGTCTCTAAAGGATCTTTTCTTGAGCCTTCTGACTACACACCCCTCAGCGAGGTCTCCTCTATGGGTTGGCGAATGCTTTGCATCTGAGATTACTTGGCCGCGATAGTCTAAAAAAATCAACAAAAAAGGTTTATTATTTGTTTATTGCTCAACAAATTTTTCTAACCCATCAATTTTTAATTTCTTTTCTCTTACTTGTTTTTCTTGCAATCGAGCAATTATGCCAAATAAAATGCTTTGAATTACTCTCTGCAATGCAAATGCGCGCGCAGCGTTCATCGGGCTTGTTTAACAGTTGCATGTTTGCAGAACAGCGTTGCCAGAGTCAGTATATAGCGATATTTTTCTATCGATGGATTTTTGCAACGCGAGCTTTTTGACGTTAGACACCGAAAGCCCGTGTGTAAAACAGAAATGAAAATGCATATTTAATTTCATTGGAAAATATCTAGTAATAAGCAACGATTGAAAAACTCCGCCATTTATAGTTACATACACATGCAATACACAACAATCATGCCACCACTATCGCAATCCTAACAGACACATTTGAGCATAACAGAGAATTAACATAACATAAGAAATACTTGTGTTTAGTAGACAATGTTTACGAGTGAAATACAGAACGTTCAATTTAAAAACATTTTTTGAATATTCACAACAACAAAAATAAAACACTGTCTCCCAAAATTAAAAACAAACTCAAGTTCCGGTAGTGATGAGTGATTTAAAAAGTGATTTTTTGCGATTGCTTATCAGCGCGTAGTTGGCGTTGGTTTATTTATAGTTATCGTTGACGTGGTTAAATTTTGCACAGTCGCTGTCTGAAATGAAGCCGAAGAAGATTCAAGAATCTACGACGACCACGTCGACAACTAAAACAATTGTACATGTACTTAGCAAAATTGGTATTGGTCACAATTGAACTAAGCATTTTATTCCGCTTTCAGATAAGCAGCAATGGCACATCGCATTTTTATACGCCGCTGCCTGGCTATCCTCCAGGTCCTGGGCCAGCTGGCAATGGGCCGCCTCACTATCATATGCCACCGCCGCCGCCGCCACCAGGCGCCCAGCAGCAGCCCACGTCTGCGGCGGGCGGCGGAGTGCCTCCGCCAACGCAACAGCCGCATTTACATTCCCCGCACTCGCCATCACCACCCCACTATAGGGACGAGCGCAGTCAGCGGCAGCACATGAAGATGCTGCGCAGGTTGGAGAAGTGGCGCGAGCTAAGAAGTAACTAGACTAACTAATTAACTTATCGTTTTAGAAGAAACTTATTGTTCTGTTCAATCCACAGACTCCACCATGTCCACGCCTACGCACTCGCCCTCTCCGCGACGCAGTGACACCAATGGGCATTACAACAACAACAGCAACAGCAACATTCCAGGAGCACAGCAGCAGCACAACACTCACATGCACAACCATGGACGCCACGTGCCACACCAACAGCAGCAGTCGCAGCAACAGCAACGCAACGCGGCCGTTCTGAACCCAACTGGGCAGCAGGGGGAAGTTGCCACGGGGAGCAATGCGGGCGGTACCAGCTCAGTGGGCACATCTGACGATGGTGAGGACACTTCGAACTTGGCCCCCGAAGATGAGGAGGACTACAAAGCCCTGATTGTGGAACAGATTTCGGCCATCGATAAGCCGGAGGTAATCGACGTTAGTTCGCGCACCGCAAAAATCATTTGGGTCCCGCCGTCCATCACGGACGCGCTGCTGGTAAACGTGCGAGACCTGCGCTACCAAGTGCTACTTAGTGACACGGGAAAACAATGCAAGTACAAAAGTCTCTACCGCGGAGAGGCATACGAGTGCATTGTCCAGGATCTACAGCCAGGGCAGGAGTATTTGGTGCGGCTGCAAGTGCACTATCAGCAGCTGCAAGGCAGCGTTAGCGAGCCCGCCGAGTTCAAGACGCCCGCTTGCGAGCCGGATCAGCCGCTGCCGCCGAAGCTGGTGTCGCGCACCAAGAGCTCTATTAATTTGCGATGGACCGCGCCGGCGGCCAACGGTGCGCCCATTCAACACTATCTGTTGGATTACGACGAGGGGCGTGGCAATGCTTTGCAGTTCGTGGAACTGGCCAAGGTCCGAGCCAAGCATTACGTGCTAAACAAGCTGCAGGCGACGACCGTCTATAGCTTCCGCCTGGCCGCCGTTAACGAGGTCGGGCAGTCAGCGTACTCGCAGGTGACCAGCTATAGTACAGCCGGCAATCCGCCCACAGCGCCCATGGCACCCCAGCTGCAAGCCTGCAGCGCCAGCTCGCTGCACCTCGTCTGGGATCGGCGGCCCCAGGATGGCGACTTTCTGCTGCAGCTGCAGGATGCCGAGTCCGGACATGGTTACCTGAACAGCTACAAGGGAGGCGACACCCACTATGAGTGCCTGCAGTTGCGCCGCGCCACCAGCTATCAATTTCGTTTGCGCACTGAAAACGATGCCGGAGTTTCGCCCTGGTCCGCGGAGGTCAATTACAGTACGGCTGCAGAACGCCCTGGGCGACCGGGAAAGCCGCATGCAAAGGGCAAGATACACGGGACACACTTCAAGGCGCGTTGGGAGCCACCTGCGGACACGGGTGGATCCGATATATTGCGCTACCATCTGGAGCTGAGTGCCGGACCCAGTTTCGAGCGCATTTACTCTGGCAGTGAGACCGAGGCTATGTGCGAACGCCTTCAGCCGGGCATCACGTACCAGTTACGTGCCTGCTGCGAGAGCCCCGCCGGTCAAAGCCCGTTCTCGGAGATTGCACATGTGACCACGGAAGCAGTGCCACCGGGCGCTCCGCCACAGCCTCAGTGCGATGCACCACCAACACCTTACGCGGCTCTGCTAAGGCTAACCCATCCTGAGAATAATGGCGGGGCACCAGTTCTCGAGTTTGAGGCGCAACTCCGCTGCCTGGACATATTAGAACAGACGCCAGCGCAGCCGCCACAAACCGTATATCGCGGCAAACAGGACTTCTTTGTGGCACAGCAGCTGGCGCCAGGTGGTCTCTACGAGGTGCAAGCGCGTGCCATTAATCGCGTCGGAGCGGGCAATTGGTCTCAGTGGCTGCGCTTTACAGCCGCCGCAGCACCACCCGGTCCGCCCAATGCGCTCCAAGTGCTGGTCAAGTCCGCCACACATTTAAGCGTCAATTGGCAGCCGCCTGCGCAGCTCAATGGATCAGCCGTCAGTGGCTACACCTTGCAGAGCGCCAGCCAGCAGCTGGATGAGCCGCAAGTGGAGCCGCCAAGCACACAGTTCAACGGTTGCTACCAGGGTCAGCAAACCTTCGTGGAGCTGCGCAATCTGACGCCCTACACGCGCTATTACCTACGCGTGCTGGCCAGCAATGCAGCCGGCACGGGACCTGCCACGGACGTGGTGTGCGTCTCAACGCCCGCCGCAGTGCCGGGCGCGCCGCAAATGCAAGGCTACGAGTTCACCGCCACGGAGGTTACACTGAACTGGACGGAGCCGGCCTCGCATGGCGCTGCAATCTGCAGCTACAATATTGAGTACGGCGAGCGGACGATTGCCACACCCGATGCCTGTACGCGATACACGGTAGTTGGGTTAACACCGGAGACCAGTTACAAGTTCCGCGTGCAGGCGGTAAACGCGATAGGCGCCGGAGTTTTCAGTGCTTATGCCAAGCTAACGACGCAGCCAGCGCCACCAGCTCCGCCCAGGCTGGAATGCAGCGGTTCTGGCCACAACTACATAAAGCTTAAGTGGAGCGAAAGCGGCAAAACCGGCGGACTTAACGCTGTGGCAAGCGGTGGTGCCGGCGGCCCTATCGGTGCTGGCAATACGGATTTCACCAAGTACTACGTGGAGATGTATGTGGCAAGAGCGAAACAGTTTCAGACGGTCTACTCGGGCACCAACTGCATGTGCAAGATCCACAAACTGCAGGAGCGCAGCAGCTACACATTCCGCATCTATGCGCACACAGACCGCGCCGGCGACGGCGAATACTCCGAGGAGTATATATTCGAGACGAGCGCCACGCTGCCGGCCAATATTAAGGCGCCGCGCGTGGTGCACGAAAGCGTCTGCCTGCTGGACCAGGCCAGCCAGCCTCTCATGCAGCTGACTCTCGAGTGGCAGCACTCGAAGAACAGCTTCAACGATCGCGTCGAGTACGAGCTGCAGTATGCTATTGTCGCCTCCTCCGACCCAGACTCTTCCAGCTCGCTCAAGGCGCGCAGCACTAGCGGCAGCAGCAGCAGCAACGGGCCCAATGTGGCCTTAAGCAACCTGGACTACAGACAGCTGTATCGCGGACCAGAGACCAAGTTCACCATAGACAATCTGACGGCGGGAACGTGCTATCAGTTTCGGGTGTGCCCTGTGCGTGTCACCTCCGGCGGAGAGCTGCTGCACGGCCAATCTTCGATGGCACTGCGCTATCAAGTGCCCAGCGAGCTGGACGCCAGCTCTGCTTCCTGCCATCATCTGCATGGGTCCACAGCAGCTCCAAATCAGGCAACGCAGCGCTCTAGCCGCAAGCTGTTGGAAACTAACGGCCCCTCCGGCGGGCTGCATCAGCGCTCGGTTAGCGCCTCGGCTATTAGCGGCAACAGTGGAGTTGGCGCTGACGCTCAGGCGATTGGCCGGCTTCAGCATGAGCTGTCGGCCGCTGGATTCAATGCTTGTGCCGATCCGCTGCATCATCACCATCATCATCATCATCACCATCATCAACAGCATCAAGCGTGCCCCGGTGAGGCAACCGCATCAAGTCTGGCTTCTCCATCCGCCTCCGGCTTGCAACTGCGCGGCAACAGCAGTGCCGTTCATCACATGCACCACCAGCACCACTTGCACCACTCGCACCACATGCATCATACGCATTTCACGCACGCCTCCGCCGCCGTTATGGGTGCTCCAAGCAACAGCAGCAACTGCAGTGTACCACATGGCGGCGTCCTTAGACGGTTCGCCTCCTGGCTGACGGCGCTCTACTACAACAGGAAGCGGCTGACGGACCAGCAGAAGGCCGTCTTCTTCGTGGTTTCGTTCGTATTTGTCACCTTCCTGGTTGCCATGCTGGTGCACATGCTTTGTGGCTGAGCTGGTGGTCACGGCGAACGCGACTCCACACTGTAAAGGTTAACAAAAATCCCACTTGGTGTCTCAAAAAAGTGATTTCCATTGACTAGCTGTAAATCACTTGCATTTGTTTTCTTTTTTTATTTTTTATATGTATGTATGTATATATATAAAAATCAATTGTACATCTCCTAAATATAAAAAGGAAACAACACACACACTCACACACATACATTCAAAAACAATTCGTAATTACATTAATACGATTATATTGAATCTACACAATTAACATTCTTAAGAACCTTTTATTTACACCTGCAAATATTGATGGCTCGAGGAAAGTGCATCAATGTTTCCTTACGGAACGAAACATTTCTTCATTTAAATATATATATATATATTTGTATTTATTTATGTATGTGACTTACCACATATTTAATCAATTACACACAAGCATACTGTATACTACACACAAAAATCTCCATATGTGCTATAGCATTTTGTGCAACAAATTCTCAATGTACATAAAACAAAACAAACAACAAAACTAAGCTTAAAAAGTACGTCTAAAAACCTTTACAACGCCTATTTTAATGTTTACTGCATTGTTGTTGCGTGTATATATATATACACACATATATATATACTTATATATACATGGATGTATGTGTATGTATGCACTATAAATATTTAAACGAGTTATAAACAATGAATACCGAAAATTATGAATTTACGAGACTATGTTTCAGATCATAGTATAAAACTGATAACAAGCATTACTCTATGTGTGTGTGTTTGCAAATGTATATGTATCTATATATCTAAAAACTAACCAACTATGCAAACAATTATAAATTATATCTTTAGTGCTGTACAATTGTTCTCGATAGCCAATCGATGGATGCACATAGATCCACAGCCCATTCCGGACTGTTGACAGTCGGGTGGAACGGTGTCCATTTCGAGCTAGTTTAACAGACGCTTCTTTCATTCTCTCAAACTTTCCATGTGAAATATAAAACACAATTTATTATTATTATAAACCTAAATAAACATCGATGACATATATAAAAAAAAAAAGAAAAGATAAAGATATCGTAGCATACAATCCAATTATACCAGAGCTTACATGAATTATATCGTGTTAATGGCGGAACATTTGTTGGTTATTATTGACCCTATGCTACGGAGATTTTGCGACCCCAGCTAGGCAAAGCTCTCGTTTATAAAAAAACACAATATACAAAAAAAAAAAAGAAGAAAATACACAATACAAACAAATATACTTATATATACATGAATATATTTTTTACACAAAATAAAAAAATAAATAAAAAACAAATTATTTAGTCCATACGATAAAATATTTGAAATTTATAGCCTAATGCAACGCAAAGTGATTTATATTCCAATTATTATTATTTTTTCTAATTAAATAAATTAATGTAATCGTTTCTTTCCATAGTTTAATATGAAATTTAAAGAATAATTACAAAATAAAAACAGAAGATATGTATGTTTACAACGGTAAATGGTTACAATATATAAATGATTCTATTAGCACTATATTGTACTATTTGTCGAATTATTTGTTTATTATACAGGCATATATATATAAACATATATATATATATGCATATGTAATGCATATTTATAATAATTATTTGCAAGAGTATATATACACATATATATGTACATGAATATATTTATCTTTATATATATATATGTGTATGTATAAAATAAATGCGATATACAAAAAATGCATGGTGTTTTTTTGTAGATTGGTTGTGAAATACTTATATACATGGAACACATCTATATTTCAGGCGGGATCCCGAAAAGAAGATTTCCTTAGCACAGAAACAATCACATTCGATAGTGTAGATACGATCTTTAGCTTTTGTAGACTCCAGACTGTGGTTCTGATAATTGGGAGTCGTCTATTACTAACAGCGATGTGTATGAAAGCATGTCGCTTTAGAAAAAGTCCTCAATATGGCAGAAATATTACTGATGATCTACTTTCCAAAAAAATATCCAATTTCTTCTGCCTACACTGTGCAAAGATCGGTGGAACTTATCTTCTGTATTACAAGACTGGAAACCGTTTAATGGTCGCGGGGAAAAAATTGTGACAAAACTTAAAACATTTGTTCCCATGAGAATTGGATATTGTGAAAAACCCAAAACACTTTTCAAATTTGCATTACGAATGGAAATGAGTCTGTATCCGAAACTTCACCCACTAAATCTTTAACTCCGATTTTCAGCAAGGAAAGGTGTATTTTCTAAATATAATATGTCACAAAGAAAATTTTGCTCACTTGTAAGGAACATTTCAAAGCGTTTCATACTAGAACTCATTTTGTGGCCAGATTCGGCGTTAAGCAGATTTTTGCTTATATTTTAAGCTAAGATACAAATATACATCAAGTCGACGGTCGATACTAATCCCGAATATACGAATATACACAGTAAGTAAATTTCGCACAGTGTAACACACTTAAAATAATTGTTGTGCTAAGAACGCACGTTTTCCTCTTTATTGTTAACAAATAATATTACTATTATATTCAGATAAAGCAATTCGCACCATAAATACAAGTATTTACTTAAGATCAGGTGTTTTAACAATCTTAAATGATATTGACATAGACATATGTAGCTTCAAGTCGGACGTTATCGTGTTTGTTGATATGTAGATGTTTAGTTAATATATATGGTATAAGTATGTGTATATATAATATATATATATTTGTATAACAGTTAAAGTACCTACATATTCGTTTATCCGTTTATCGCAGTTGTTGTATAACATATTCCTGCTATGCAATGTTTTCTTTAGATTAGGTGCTACTATAGGTCACAATAGGTTTCGTTATATTTAAGTCTGGGGTATTGTGAACAATAATAAAGCTTTAACTAAATATATGTGAGTAAGTAAAAATTCCTTTTGCCTACTCGCTTGCAGTTACTTAAACCCATCCTAAAAATGTAGCTCACAATCTTATTATTGTTCAATCTACAAGTACAAATACATATACTGTTTCAAGTATTCACTATATAGGCGCTAAAATCATCAAGAGTTTGCAATTCGTAGTTTATTGTTTGTTTGGTTAAAATCGGTATATAAAATGTTGTGCTCTTTGCATTGTATTTTTGCCTCGTACGTATGAAACATGGAAAAATGCTTGGCCTTAAATCCATTCCGAAATCAACATCACACAGCGTTACTCTAAGTCCAAGTTAATATTCCTCCAAAGCTTGTGCTTTTGTTTACTGTGTACATATATATATATATGTATATATATATATATATATATATATGTATATATATCTTTGGTTTATACAAAAAATACTTCTAATGCTAAGGCAGCTGTCAACATCGGTATGGGATAGTTATATTTGGTATTCAATTAGTTAGCTCAACGGTTCAAATCCAAAGGCCAGTCACACGATATATATGTGTGTGTGTGTGTGTTGAGTGGGGTGGACATGAACACTGATCCAGGATAAGGTTCTTGGTGTTCATGCCTAGTGATTGGTAATAGTTGTGGTGACAGGGTATATCGGAATTGTGTTAATATTACGCTTAAGATCCCGAAGTTTTATTGAATAATATTCAGCCAATGGTGCCCATTGTGGAGACGCAGCTGCTGCCGATCAGTGGCTCGCGCGAATTGACGGACGTGTTGGATGGATCGATGGACAGGGTGAACTCCGTTGAGGCCTCAACCGAGTCGTGCTGGCTCTGAGTTTGCTCGTGGCGCCGCGGCTTGACCACCTGGCTAGGATCCTTGTGCGGCACACTGCCGCCCTGGGCGCTAGCTGCCGGATAGCTGGACACGCGCTTAAGGGTCTGTGCGAAAGATTAGCAGTTGGGAATTGATGTGCCGCTCAGATTTCATGGGGCAAGTACGAACCTTGTCAGTCAGCAGCTCGGCAGCATTGGCAGCCGCAATGGATTCAGTTACGGGACAAATGTTTTTACTCGAAGAGAACTTTTTGCGTTTGCGCTTCAGAGCTGCGATAGCAGTCAGACCTGGAAGGAACTCTAGTTGGTTTACACACAGTCACTAGCTCGAGGCACTCATACGCACCGGAGGTCGTGTGAAAGAAGTGGGCGCCCATGCCCACATGCGAGTGTCCCGACGTGCTGGCCGGAGGAACCGGCGCCACAGCTGGTGGCTCCGCTCCGTGGTAGGCGTAGGTGCGCTGCGTTGAGCTCTGCGCATATGTTACCCGCACCTGCTCGTGCACGGGCGTGGCATTGTGCGTGGAATTGCAGACGGAGTCCTCGGACTTGGAGCGTCCCAGCATTTTGCTCATGTTGCCCACCTTGGCGGCCTCAATGAGTGTGCCTTAGAGCGCGGCAGATTAGTTTCCGGCCGTAACCTAAGCTGACCATACTCACCCCAACGTTTTTTGTGTCCCGCTATGCGCTTGTTATACTTCAGCGTCGACTTGTTGTACTTGGTGGCAGCAGGCGCTGCCGATGCCGCCGAAGCCGACGCCGTCGACGCAGCTACTGAGCTCTGCGTAGGCGTGGTTGGCGACTCGGCGCCAGCCATTCCGCCGGTGGTATTCTGACGTCTGTGGATGAAATTGGGCGTGAACAGGGTGGACAGGGTCGAGCTGAGAATCTCATGCTGGTTATCGTAGTTGTCAAGCGATGTCGAGAATTCGGCCACCGGCGCCAGCGAGCTCGTGGAGCCGGGTGGCGCAATATTGAAACCCTTCATAAGGCGTCGCTCCTTCTGGCGATTCTTTTTGCCACCGCCACCTGCAAGCGGGTCGAAGAGAGACTTAATGTAGTGCGCGGAGTGCGTGTGATAGGGCATCTTACCACCACCTTGACCTGCAGTCACATTTGTGTCCATGCCGCTGTTCTTCAGTATCTCCACCAGCTCGCAGCGGAAGGCGGAAATGTCCTGCTTAATCTCGTTTACGTCGTCCTCGGTGACGCCCTGTGACTCCGCCTTTCGCTGCTCCACCGTCACATAGCGGCGGACCAGATTCCGCATGATCTGCTGATACTTGAAGTCCCTGTCACTGGCCTGCTGCGCCTTGCGCTGTGCAGGATGGGGTCAACAGTTCATAAGGTGTGCACGTGGAGGATTAAGCACTTACCCGTATTGTCTTGAGGTGCTCGCGGCGGGCTGCGGAGGAGCCGCTGCAGAACATCTGGCGCATCCACTTGCTGGCATACCATATGGACTTGGGTGTGGGAATTATATTGAACGGGGGCGGGCAAGTGCCGCCCTCTTCAAAGTAGCTGATCCACAATTTGGAGCGGGCGAATTTCCACTCAACATCGGCGCGTTCCTGAAGCGAAATACAATTCATTAATGGTATCTGAGGTATCTGCGTTATGCGTTTGGTTGGCCTACCGAGATGAGCTGATACGAGTGATTCATCATGGCAATCAGCAGATTGAGCAGCACAACGATGTTGATGACCGAGTAGGTGCCGAACATGAGCATGCCCCAAAAGCGCGTGAAGATCTTAATGCCATCCAGCTCGAAGCTGTCCAGGTCAATGAGTCCAAAGACGGCCCAAAACAAGGTTTGCGTCGTCTCAAACAGACTGCAAGTCGAGAAAGCAAATGCAAACGATTGTTTTCCAATCAGAACAGAGAAAGACATCAAGTGGACTTACTTGGAGAATCGCCGCCAGACAATGCACGCGTTCGGATCGTTTGTGCCGTTCATGTTGAGGAGCAGACTGGGCGAGACCTCCGGACAACGCTTCTTCTCCAGATCAGCGTAGTACCTGCATCGAAATGAAGTATAATCTGAGGCAAAAGAATATATCTAGTGGCACTCACCAGAGGAGCTGATTGAGACCGCTGCCAAAGGCGAAGAGGACCAGGACATACAGGAAGAAAAACTTCATGATGTCCATGACCATGCGCGACAGAGACACTTGCAGTGGCCCCAAGTGTGGGTTCACCGAGAAGATGTACACCAGCTTGAGGCTACTGAAAATATTCGCCGCACTGAAGAGGCCTTCCGAGATGAGCATTGGATCCCAGGTGTCCCAGCGCTCGCGCGGCAGGTCTGTGGCCTGTGAATTGAAGATCATCTCCTTTTGCACCTGAAAGAATGAGACAACCCGCAGGGCAACGGTGGCGACATACAGAGAGTTGGTGACAAAGTCAATGACATTCCACATGTCGTTCAGATACTCCTGCAGTCCCACGTCCCACAGTTGCTTCACCTCGCTCCAAATCAGGCCGCTGACCCAGGCGAGAATCAGCCACTCGATGAACGTGGGCTTGGCGCCGCGCTTGGTCGGCAGCTGCAGCTCCTCCGCCTGGTTCAGCATGGTGGTTGCCTCCGACCAGAACCAGCTGCCGATGAAGGTCTCAATGCGCTGCGAGGCAAGCATTAGCAGGAACAGAAATGTGAAATACGAGGCGCTATGGCAAATGAACTTTATGAAGGGCTTGCGCATGGTCTGGCCAATGCTCGAGTACGGCGCCAGTATGTAGGCCAGCGAGAATATGGGAAACAGGATGCCAATGCGAATTATGTCCAGTGCCTGCAGCGCCATGTTCTTGCGCCTAAATCCCGGCAGGCCCTCGTACCAAATGCTGGCCAGCAACTGCTGCACATTCGAATGGGCCACAAACTAAAGAGAAAAAAAAAAGAAGGTCTTTAATAGATCTCCGGCCCATTTTGCATGGTAGACAACCTTCTTCTGGCGCAGCTTGATGGCCAGCTTTAGGCGATTCAGATGCATGCGTTCGCCGTGCTCAAAGACCGGGCCAGTGGGATCGTGGTTCAGCAATATCTCCAGCTCGTGCGAGGTGCGCGTATGGTCCAGCAGGGCTGTAGCAAAGTCCTGGCACTGTTTGCGCAGCTCCTGGTACTCATTCTGAAATACAACGGGTTAGCTAATCTGGAATAAAACGCATTCGTTCTAGATTGCACCTTGAATTCGTGCTCGAGAAAGCTTAGGCGCCGCAGCTCCCAGGACAGCTCGAAGGCGGTGAGTATGGGATCCTTGGAGGAGAGCGCGATTAGGCTGGGACTGGCCAGAGCACGGTAGGCATTTATGCGGGATCGCGAGTGCCTGAGAGAGTCCTCCTGCCGGGACTGGACGCACTCATCACAGCCGCAGCGTACATCATGAGGCATGGGCAGGACAGCACCTCGGTCCAGTAGGATCTTGATGATCTCGTAATTGTCCCGATGGGCGGCCAATATTAGTGGAGTTATGTCCGGTGTAAACGTTGAAGTCTCCTCCGAAGCGGACTCCCAGCTCTATGAGAAATAGTTATTGATAATAAATATATTTAATCGGACAAGAGAGATCACTTTGGGTGTCTCCTACACACATGGTTGCCCTCGTTTTGAAAGGTGACATTCTCATGATCCAATAGCACCTCAACAGCCTCAACAAACTCCTCGGATATGGAGTGCAGGAGCGCGTCCTTCGTATCGACATTGTAGTTTATGAGCAATTCCACCATCTCCAAGTTCTCGTTATCGATGGCCATCAGCAGGGCGGTTCGCCCCAGCGGATCAACGCAGTTCACATTAATGTATTCCGTGTCCTGCGCCTTCTGCAGCATTCTTCGGGTGCCCGCCATATCGCCCCTTTCCACGGCCAGTAGAAACTTCTTCTCCTCCAGAGTTAGCTGACGTATCTCTTGATGCGGCCGTATGGTGTTCTCCTCCTCCATCATTCCGTGTATGCTATGCCGCTGCACAGAGATGGAAATTAATTCTGGAACCGGCTCGATCTTAATGCGCTGCTCACCTTGACACGCCTGGCCGGCTCAATTTGGACGGCTATGTGGCCACTGCCACTGCTCTCGCTGCCCAGCTTCTTGTCTCCAATGTCGCCACCATCCACACCATTCTTGATTTTAATCAGTATTGGAGCTAGGACCGACTTTCGGCGCGCAGGGCTAATAAAATGCAGCTTTTTTCCTTCGTCTTTGAAATAGAACAAATTTCGATGGATTAAGCTATGGATAATTACTTATTTCTATACCCTTGCAAAGGGCATTTTAATTTTGTTATAAATTGTGTGCAACGCATAGATGGACCCCAAGCCCAAAAAGAATTTTTGTTACAGATCAATCTGAGAGCCTATTCCTATGATAATGTTTGCTTCAGTCGTCATTTTACGTTTAAGATAGCTTCCCTTATTCCAACCGAGATTGAGAAAATGTATATTTATTATAAATTTATTTATGTTTTCTATTCACAAAGATCAGACCTCCAGAAAACTTCTTGTTAAAGCTAAAGTGTTGGGCTTAATCCACACATTTATTCTCACTTGTGAATGCCATACTTAAGTTCTGAACATTTAATAAGAATCGGACTATAAACTGAAAGATAGTCTAGAAGCTGGGATATGTTTGCAAGGGAGGCTGGTATCTTCTGGCTAAGCACTCCGGTCTACTTTAAACAGAACCTATATCTTTCGTATTCCCTTATTATTGAGATACCTACTGGGGTTAGTTGAACTAGATTTATAGAGTACATATTTGTATAAGAAAAATAGACCTTCTGTGAGTACGTACTTGAAAAGATAAGAATAATGATGCTTTTAGTCGAAGACTTTGCTTGGATATGTACATAGTATATACTATCATAATTATGCTGTAATTGGAAGTCTGCCACAGGAAAAGCAAATCGATAATAACGGAGCAGCCTTGTTAACAGGCGAGCAGACAGGCCCACAGCCAGAGCGCAGCGTCTATCCTCTTCAGTGCAAAGTTACAAGGCCGCATTTGTCGCGGGTTTGTCCTTGCTCAAAATCAAAGTGGCATTAGCCTTTATTAATTTTGATTTTCGAATGGACTGGTAATTGCCAACAGCAAGGCATTAGCATCAGTTGCATATAAAATTAAAATTTCTTAACTCGAATTTAATGCAAACAAACAAAAGCCCAAGGGACGTATGCGCAATAAAGCATGGCATGGCTTGGCTTGGCTTGACTGGGGGAAGAGGGGGTGGTCAGGTGGACGCGGGGCTACGTCAAGAAATCTGGGTCAATAGCTGCTTGTTTTTGCATATGTTTATTATATATAGTTCATACACACACACACACTCGCATCTCCCCCACATGCCGCGTGTGTGTCTGTGTGTGCAAGTCTTAGACTCTTCTCGTTCGAAGGAGGAAAGAAGCTCGGGAAACGGATGTGTTTACGTTTTATGCTTTATGTGTTTTTGGCATTTAATTTCCAAGGGCATTGGTCGCATTAGGACTGTGCACACAACTAGATATGCTCATATCAACATTAACAGTTACAGTTTTAGCCCATATTAATGCATATATAAACACACACACCCACACCCACACACTTAACGGATACTCACGACCTTCACAAGCTCACACATGCACAATAACGGGCGTAACGCTCGCAAATTCGCAACGTTCTATACCCTACACCCTTTCGTCATATTAGTTTGCGCCCATTTGCAAACGTATTTTGAGGAAATGGAAAATGAAAAACCTTTTTATTATGCTCTCAGTTTCAATTCCTGTGCAACTTTTATTTGCAGAAAAACAACTTTTCAAATAAGTATCGGCATATTTACAACAAAAACTTGTCTTTGTATTTGTTTAATTGAGGGCATCTGAGGTTCGGGCACATTTGCAAACATTTTTCTTCTGCTTTCTGTGGAAGGAGTTAGTTTGTCTTCATATCAACTGCACGCCACGGCGTGCGTTGAACCCTCATTGATTTCTCACAGATACACGACTGTCGTGTGTCTGTGTGAGTTCGAGAAATTGAGACTGCGCAGGACATGGCCTAGGTGCAGTGCCTTCTGGTTGTCGTAGGTCCTGCACACGCCATGCTACGAGCCAACAACAAAATGGTCAACACTCGCACACACACACACACTCACACACACACTCACGTATGCTACCTCTACAGTTACAAAGTAATCACAAACAATTGAAACGCTATTGATTGACCTAAAAACAATCTAACTACGTGCACTTTAACAGAGGGTCCTAACTGATTTTGACCTCCTTGCTGAGTTGGCGCCTTGCAGTTCCCTTCGCTATGTTCAAATGTTCGCTTCGTTCCCGTTAGACCTACTAACTAAGGAGCTATACAGCACAATCATTAAGCTCCTTGATGTATACGTTTGTGCTAATACACTTATGAGGCGATATAAATACTAAGTCGGTCCAATCCGAACGACTATTTATATATAGACAAAGTACTCCGAAAGAAATCCCCTCTCGGAGAGTCGCCAAACTTGACATATAGCTGCTAGAATATCTTTCATTTAAAGCTATTCTAAATCCTAAATTTCTAAATTTTTGACCAAATTCAAGTTTCTCGAAATCGGGTTCGGTTCGAAAATCAGAACTATTTTAATGATTATTTTTTGATTACCTGTTTACCAAATTATGACATACATTTTAATACATATATACAAAGTTAAATAAAAATAATACATATTGTTTTTGCCTATATTGGGCTTGACTGTGAAACTAAAATGTTAAATTGGATTAAAAATCGAGCGGGCGAATTAAAAAAAAAAACATTTTAGAGAGAAGCGAGCGTCAGCTCAGAGTTAGTATGGGATTATTTAACTTACCTTCGCCTTCTTCTCCCGTCTTGGCTTCGCTCCATTTCGACAACTATCAAAACACAAGAAGCAGAATGGGATTATATGTTAGTGCGGATTAGCATACTTAGGTTAAAAGGTCATGTTAAAAATATTATTGAGCAAGAAAAAAAGGGCTTAACTGCGGCACAGACATATGGCAAGTATGGAAGTGTTTTCCGATGTCGACAACGAATTTGAGATATTTTAGAAAATGCTCGTAAATGCTGCATGTTATTAAGATGTCGTTGCACTTAGATGAAACTGGCTGCTGAATACCCTGTTCACAACTATATTATTGAGTTGAAGACTCTAAGAGAACTTGAGCGTAGATCAACGAGGATCTGGTAAGGCATAAGAGAATTTACCACGTCAAATGACAGCCACTCAGCCAGACCTAGAGTTCATGGCTGCACGGGTAAAATTTATTCACTTGGCTCGGGCAAGACATAGTACTCGCCGAGAGTATTATATTGCCATGCCTTAAATATTCCGTTAAAATAATTATAGCACAGGATTAAACTGATTATTACGCACACAGACACACACAGATACACAGGCTTGCGTAATGCATTGACATCTGGCCTGGATTTCTGTAAGGCATCCGGTTGATCCATCATGGTGCAACTTTAACGATGGATGCCCACATCCGGCTGATGCTGACGCTGGCGCACTTATAGCATGGAAGGGAGCAGCGGAGAGCTCAAGTGCGGCAAGCTTGGCCCTCAAGTGTCCTTGATGCAGTGCCGGCAACAACTTGTGATTGTGACATACGCATCCTCGCGGCCTTGGCCCGTGGTGTTTGTCTCTCGCTAACCACAGACAAAGGCAACGGAGAAGGACAAGTCGCAACTCGAACCTAAAACAAAGTTGCTTCAATGAAAATGCAACTTACATTTCCTATACCCTGTACCTATAGAAAAAGGCTTAAATGGGGTATAATAGTTTTGTGCAAACGTGTGTACAGAAAGAAGCTGACATCTTCGACCTCATAAAGCATGTGTATTCTTTATCGCAGAGCTGAAGTCTCGGATAAAGAACCCAAACTTTGTATAAGGATCTATCCAAAGAATACGAATTATTATTTCCTGCCTTATTACAAAATTAAAAAACTCACTTTTGTATGTACATCCATTCGCTTTGATTTATATAAACACACTTGGGTAACATATTTAAGCCCAGAATCCCATAGGAATCGAGAAATAAGCAACAAAGTTATTCAAGCATGCAGTTTACCCAATGTTTGAGCTAAAGAAGAAGATGCAAAAAGGATGCCTGGTTGTTCTATTAGGATACATTTATGAAAGGGATTCTCTACCCATCCGGCGGAGCTTGTGGGCGATGTCTTATATGTTTCTTGGTGGGAGCCAAACCAAGTAGAACGTTAACTTGGTTTAGCTAGGCATTTGTTTAGGGCCGAGCACTCGTATTGCAGTTTAATAGGCAGCCAGGCTGGCACACACATATATATAAATATGCAACACACATACATGCATAAGGTTGGTCAAATTACGTATTCGCCGCGTTGGCTGCCAATTAATGGCAACTTTTGTTGCTGCTGGCATTTTCTTTGTTGCAGCTGCTGTTGTTGTTGTTGCTGTTGTCCTTGAGCGCGTTTTAATTCAGGGCAGTGCACTCACTTCGGGTTGACCCCAGCGCCGCAAGTCAAAGGCTAAAACGACTCCGACGGGCCACCCGAGAACTAGACTATGTTTAAATGTCGCCCCTAAGCGTTTGGCTAGGGTTGTATGAGTAAAAAACATGCATATGTAACAAGCAACTGCATCCGAGTGTGTATTTGTGCGGGGGAGTCTATCCTAACGGACATGCACCCTTAGCTGGAAAGTATACTCTACTTTGTAGAGATCCTTAAAGCGCTAATCTATCTATTTGTTGCATATATAATTTTATAATCGAAAAAACATATTTACAGCTCTTAAAACTGAGTAACTGACTAAGAATGTGGATAATTTCTCAAGTATACTAACAAATTAACTACTATAATTTGCAGTAATACTCTTAACTAACCCCTTAAGCATTTAGTTATCTAAGGAGCTAATGATCTATATAAAGTGATGGATGATCGACTGAAAGGAACCTTAACCAAAGCATGTAGCCATGGATAACCAATATCATCTGAAGCATGTCCAATATCGTAAAAGCAAAGTAAAAGTAGATAAACATATTTTGGGTTCAACAAGAAATCGAAATATGGAAACTTTTAGTTTTTTATTTAATCCAATTTGGTTGGGCTTTTCTTTTTGCAGCTTTTAATAAATAACATGCAAAATAGCGTATTTTAATAAACTAGGCCCTTGCAGATTCGCTGAAAGACAAATCTTTTTTTAAAAAAAAAGGGAAATTTGGCCTGGTTTGTCTCGAAATTGAATAAAAGTGAGGAACTGGCACAAGTGGCCACTCCACAGTCAATAGGCAATAGGCAGGCAACAAACAAAGAGCAAGAGTAAAGAGTAAAGGGCAAATAGGTACTCGGCTATCAGAAGCCACAGGCCCATCCTATTATTCATTTACCTTGAGTTGAGATTTCCTCTTGAGTGCGGCAATCGAACGAGTCTGTTGTCGTAGCACCTCCAGCGCAGTGTTCGCGTCAACGTTGGTCCGACCGAAATTTAGAGCTCGAACGCGAATGAAAACGAATAATTCGAATAGTTCGACAATAAACGAAAATTCAACGTGATTTTGGCCGTCGGGAAGCGTGCGAATTTCAAGCAATTAACAATACAAATTGTTTGTTTAGATATTATTTTGATCAATCGGCCGTTTGTTCTTATATCACGTTATGAATGTGTTTCAAGCTAAAAATATTGAAATTTACGCAATGTTTATGGAATGCCCTTTCAATTTTTGAGATTTCTCTGCGAATACAAAACACAAATTTCTCGCCGCAAATGAGGCTGGATACTCGAATCTTGGAATATATGTAAGCTTATAAACAAATGTGGTGTTTTTTTTTTTTTTGGCCACGCCCACTATTGATATCTCCCGCAGAGATAGTCATCAAATTGGGAATCGTGGCGAGCTACTATAAAGATCGAGAAATAGGTCTTGACTCTACCAACCCAATAATCCAAATGAGTCCTTTCGACTAACTAATCTGTTATTGCACTGTGAACAGAGTGTTGCGCAGTCGGCTATGCTCTAGGGGTGTTTATGTAAGTTCCGTTATGCATAGTTCCGTAACGTGCATAGCAACCGGAAGCATAGTACACACAAACATAAATTTGCTCGAGCGAAAATATAAGTTTGACTGCAGTAAAGTTTTAAGGTGTGGATGAAAATTGACCTATAAATCAATTATGTTTTTTTTTTTTTATTTTGAAAAATCAAAGAAAATCTGTAGTACTACGCATAGTGAGCTATTAAGTTTTTCAGTAGGAATACTTCAATGGCATTCAAAAATGAAAGTTTTTTTTTGATATTCAAAAATTATTTATCAATTATTGTTATAGAGTTTTCACAAGAGCGCACACACAGATCCAAGAGATCGAAATTGCGATTTAATAGTTTCAGTCTTTTTTAAAATAGAAATATTTTTTATATTGCGTGTTATGCCAAATGGTTCACTTCATATAAAATTGCTTCGATGTTTATGTTTCCACGCGTTAATCAAATTGTGCAAATTTCCGAATTTTCGTGCGCCTTGACCAGTTGTCGTCTTGCAACTGGGAGCCAGGCGAATGCAGCAGCGTATGCGAAACGCGCAAGCCCTGAGTTTGAGGGCGAAAACTGTTAGATTTTCATTAATAAAAATCATGACCGGCAGTTTGGCTGCACCGCGCATGTGTGTAGTAGTAAACAAGTAGGAAATTTGCAATCGGGTGTAGCCGACTGCATGATACTCGCATTTTAATATACGATAAGATCAGCATTGTTTTACTTGCCAAAAGTTGGTAAATATATTAAAATGTGCGTCAAATACATAAATGCATTTAATTTTTATCTCTACTATATACTTCGTAATTATCTTTCTCAATTGCTGCTTAATAATTAAATTCCCACTTACAGACGGGCATTGCGCAAACTAATATACCTTTTTTACGTCGGGAACCGCATACAGAAATGGTTGCAAGGCGATGGGAGCAATGAACCCTGTCGCCGTAAGCTGCAACAACTGAATCAATCAAAATGCTTGTCTAAAATATAAACATACACTTTTTCACAATAAGCGCTAATTGCACAAAATAAAAGTTCCTCTCAATAAAACGATGGATATGCATAGCCATACATTTAAATCCAGTATTTATTTTTCCGCCAAATTCGTTATGCAGGCCAACAAAACAATCGATATTATAAGTGAAGATATGCATTTTTAGTATTTTTGTCAGGATAATCGAGCGACCACCACAATTTGTTCTTTTAGCATTTACATTTTTCTGTTCGTATGTACTGTCACACTCATCGTTAAATTTGCCAAATGTGCAAAAGCAGACGACGGCGGCCTTTTGCTAAAGCCTCAAATGAATACGAATAAAATGTGCGTGACTGCGAATAGTATTTAAAAAGTGTGTTCACTAGTTATAAATGTTTGGGGCTTGATAACTTCATTAACTTGTGTCGCATACGCAAAAGGGTGTGCAAAAAACACCGCTGCTAGTGCAATCGCTTTCAAAAAGCGGTAAGTCGTACATTCATTTAATGCATTATTCAATATTAAACTGTGATTAAGGCATACATACATATGTATGTTCGCAAACTATTTGTACAAAATCCAGCTTCACTGCCATCGTCTTTCATTCTGTTCTGTATATATTCGCATCGACTGTTTTGGCGCAATTCTTTCGGCATTTTGTTGCATTGCGCATAGAAATTCATGATGTCAGAGCGAGATAAATATATGTATCTGCTTCTGGGTAGTAGAATATCATCCGGGGTAAGACGCTAGCGTTTGTATACCCTTGCAAAAGGTATTAATTTTTAAATTCATACAATATAAAACAAGTTTTTCCTATAACGTATTAATTAGTAAATTAAATCATAAACAATATGTCAATTCCATGTGATATGTGATAAAATACCTAAATATGCCCAAAACGCGTTTTGTATAAGTAGGCCTTGGCAACTCTGCCTTTTCTTAAATGAAATTCATAGAAAATGTCTTATTAACGAGAAACTGAATTAAAATTTGAATACTATCTCGTTAAAAGTAAGTGCCTTATATTAAGCTGCATTTGGTTTGTTGTACGTTTGTTCCTGTCTTGTTGCCGGTACACTTGAAAACTATTTTCGATTAAGCCGGCAATGCACACATGTATGTGTTTAAATACACTTACACACATGCATACCTACTGATGCACATAAGCATATGCATACATGAGTATTCTCGTATGCATCTGTGTGTATGCACAAAACAAGGTTATGTTGACGGGTACACAATCGTAGACTGCCATTTGCACTGACAGCGTTGGTGTCCCTACTAACAATCCCCTCAATACCCACATGCAGCGCTAATATGGCCTGGGCCCCATCAACAAACTTTGAGGACGATTTGGTCGACTTAGAACCAAATTGCAATTTTATATATGGACAGCTAGCATACGAAGCAAAGCGGAAGCAGGAGTATACTCCACGTCCAAAATCGACGTACGAGTACCTCGCGAATCGGCAAAAGCGCAACGAGGAGATAGACAAAGTACACAGCTCAAAATCGAAGGAAATTCGCGCCAGTCTGGCCATGATGGAGCGCATACAGCAGATAGCTGGAACCAAGCCGTTGGGTGAACACGCGACCATGTCAGATTGGGACGACACAAGTACCGTGGAGAAGGAGGCGGTTGCCATGATGAGGCATTTTGGCATGATGTCCATGACTGATGGCTCGCTGGCTCCACCAAAAACTGAACCGTTGCCACACAACAACATCCACGTGATTCGAAATGGCCGTCGAAATTTCCCATTAATCCTGGATCCGCAGTATTTTGAGCCGGGCAAGACACGTAAGATGAGTAATTCGAGCTATAGCTCGGCAACAAGCGGAACTAACACCTCACGAGCATCCGAGTCTGGAAGCAGTGCAAGCATTTATACCACTGCCGACTCGCATATTGAGGAAACGGACAGCAGCCAAGACGACCAAGGCTTCGACGAGATTCCCTATACATTACTCGAAGAAACATTGGAACCAAAACTGAACTCTCCTAAGCCGTATAAAACCAAAAAGACTAGAGGAAGTCGTCCGCCGCAGAGTCCGCGGCTTCAGATGGCCACAACGAAGCGGCGACATCGTCTATAAGGCGCTATAAGGAGAATCCATAATCAAGTGATATAATCTCCAATACATATCGGATATTACAGTATGGAAAGAGAACATGAAGCCTTAAATGAAACCTAAAGTAATGTGATTCATAAACTTAATATACAATAGTAATAAATGAGGTCTTATATATCTTTTCGCCTCTTAAGGCAATTAAATAGATATTAATAAAAACAGGCGAAATTGAATAACTTGTGTTTTAACAAGTTCAAGCCATTAAATAATAGATAATGTAAATTAACATATAGAATCCGCATTTATCCAAAAAATTAGCATTAAAATTTGTTAAGAGCAAAGGATTTGCTTGTCGTGTCGAGTAAAGGATTTATAGGACTTTTCTTATTTTTTTATTTTGTTTAACCTTTTATTTTGCTAACCTTTCGTATAAAAGTTACTTCAAATCTAAGTTCGTTAAATGCTCGTGCTGCAATTGTTAATTGCTTTCGGTTGTTAAACTGATCACAAATATTTTCAAATTTTTAAATGGTGTGGTCAACCAATATTATGTCAAGCTATGAATAAAAAATATATAATTTTATGTAAGAAAAAATCAAATTTAATAAAAATCTTTTAAGATTATTCTCACAACCCAAAATCTCAGTGGTTTAGTCAAATTTATATATGCTTAAACATATCTTCCCAGCGAAGCGAAAGCATTTAAAAAATTAATTAAAAAAAGATACGATGTGGTCAGAATATTATGTATCCGTTCAATTAGGCTGATTACAAGAATTAACAGCCATATGCGGCATGTCGATTATAAAATACCCTTTCCTATATGGCATAAATACGGTTTTCTGCCCTTATAGTGTGTATAAAAATGTTGTCATAAAATGTGTAACGCACATAACGTTCCCATAAAATGTATATATTCCTGATCAGCTGAATGTTTGTCTTTGGTTTTCTATACCAATTAGTCTGTTTTAAAGCCAGCGTATGTCATAGCATTTATGAGAACAGTTATTCGCAAACTGTTTTGTTTATAAGGACATCTAGGCCAACTTAAGAGGCTTTATCTCCTTATATATAAGCTAAATCTTATCAAGATCGCACTGCTGCATTAATAAGCTCTATAGGAGGAATCGGTAATACATTAATAATTCTACTTTCTTGTTGCTATTATACAAAAATTCCATTTTCGATTGTCACTATAAAAGCTGTATAATATAGTACTCTGATCTTTGAAAATTTGTTATATATGTTAAAAGAAGAGTAAGGCTTAAAAATGACAAATTTTGTTAGGATTAATCCAACTTTTGAGTGCAAAAAACTAGCCAGCTGTAATTTGGGATTTTCTTCTATAGAATAATTATTTGTATTTGTGTTTTGGCATACTGGGAACTGATCTGTTATGACAGTTCGGGGCTGAAAACAAGGCACCTCATTTTAAATATTGACAACGAAGCATTTTACGTATTTAAAGACTGTCGGACAAGTCTCGGGACTCGTTTACGTAAATATGTACATATGGCTGGATGTATGCCTGCAACTTGTTTACCCTGGTGACTGTCTATTTACACACATGCGCATAAATATATGCATGTCTGTGCAAATTACATGCATATAAATAACTACGTAACAGACATCGTGGTCCTTATAAATTAGTCAGCAGCATCTCAGCCACGCTTGACATCAAGAAAAACCAAATAAATTTCTATCAAGTCGAACTAATAGATACCCTCTAACCCCATACACACAAAATATAACTTGGGTGCTTGTAGCTATCCCGAGCTGCCGCATAAACATTGTCAGATCCTTTCACTGACATATAGTTTAATGCAATGCTTTACGAATTTGGCAAATGCATGAAACATGCAGAAAATGACGTCTCCGACGTATCTGCCTCGGGAACTATAAGAGCTAGAGGCTTCAAATCTTCTTGTCCGATTTCGAATATTTCAATAAAAATCGATATCGAATTTGATTTTTTTTTTTTGCAAGTCTATGACCTTTTAGGACTCGAGATGGAGTCTAAGGCTTTGATATTTATACATATATTTAGCTCCACTTTGGAGTATTTAGCTCATATATATTTCAACTGTCTATCGATCCGTGGAAATGGGGCAAGTTACCGACAAACTTGCAAGACGGACATTACCCGAATCTATACACTAGTTTATTGGTAACAGCTTCTATTTAAGTCCATCTACAAATGACTGAGGCCCACTGTACAACAGCGGGAATGGTAACTCTTTTACACACCACATTGACGGACACGTCGCACAACAACTCCGATGTCTGTAAGGGAATACTATGCAGCACAGTAATAAAATGTGCCCATACATATGTATATGTATGTATACGCAAAAGCATGTGAATGTATGTATATGTGTATGACCAAAGATGCAGAAGAACAAAAAGAAGCAACAGCCCTGCACTCACCGGCTATCGCCTGCGTAGCAATAGCTCCGCTCTCACCGGCTATAGTTGTTGTGTCGCATCTCTCTCCGTCGGCGAGTTAGTGCCAGCTGCTTCTTTAAACTTAAGAGCTGCAAGTTTTGCTAGGAAGCTGTTTGAAGCGAAAAACTGCGAGAGAGTTGCGTCAACCACCGAAAGCCGACAAAAGTTGGTTGTTTCCAACATTTTGGCGCGCATGCGTAAGCTTTCGCTCCTACGCGCTCTCAATATGTCATATGTCGCTCTCTGCGGCTCTCTGTCCCTCCCTCTCGCTCTCTTTGTGACTCTTTCACGCTCAATTGCTAAACTCGGCGCCTCGCTCTGGAAGTTTCGAGTTTGCCTGGTCTGGTCTGGTCTGGTCCATGCCATGCAGATTGTAAAATGTTCATGTATCGGGCGCATTTGCTGCTCACAGTTTGGTTTTAACGCTTGCCCAGGACGAGCCGCTGTAGGCGACAGGATAGCGACAGTGTGTGTTTGGCCATTTTGGATTAAGAGTATTAAATAGAGTTAAACTAGAATAACCAGTGCACAGGTTGATTGCGATCCACAACAGTCGCAAAAAGGTTCAACAACGACGCACTTTGGCACTTTTAACGTGTAGATACATACTAAGTAAAACGCTAACTTACCTACACATCAACCGGGCTTGTATGTATGTGTGTGTGTCCTACGCATCGGCAGTCGGCAATCGTCAGTGAGTTTTTGTGACTCCAAGCGCTCTCTGAGAAATTAACATTAATCGGTGGTGGGATACCCCAGCCGTCCGTTATAAGGTAAAAAATGCGAAGCATCAAAAAACGGGCCGCGCAGCGAATACTCTATACTCTCAGAACAGATGCAATTCACGCGCGCGCGTCTCAAAGGCGAAGGATAACCGCAATCCATTCTGCACTGCAAACAGAAGGCAGGAGGCGTTGCCTCTCATCCAATCTTGGTAAATCCGCAATGTTAATGAAATTCAAATTTAAATTAAATTTTATTTTGCAAGTTTTCTGCACACGTGGCTGCTTTCGGCTCCTGCTATGAGACGAACAAAAAAAATCGAAGAGAGGTTACACAAAAAAAAAACTGGCTGGGCTGGTATTTTCATGCTGCGCTTGTCTGTCGTATCTGCCAGCTTGATATGTCCATCTCCGTCCCGGCCACAGCTTTAATACCTGTCTCTCGCTCCTTATCCGCAGCCGCCAACAGAGTGTTGTGTATTTTGTCCTAACCATACAAAATCTTTTCCTTTTATTTTTTTTTTGTTCATTTCTGCATTTGTTGTTCCCGGGCAAGGGGCTAGAGTGGCAGGAGCCGCTTCATGTACAGGCAGGGCGCATAAAAATAAACCGGTGCTCAAATAAAAATACTGACGAAACTCGTATTTGCTTAACTTCATCGACAGGCAGCGGGGCAATGTCTCACAGTCTCCATTCCTAGTGCCAGCCGCCGTCCCGCTGTGTACAATATACATACAGTCGCCGTGCCAGTTCCTGTCCTAGGCCTAGCCTGAGTACGAGCTTTTCTCGCTGTTGCTAGGCGACTTGTTTCCCGCTGGATGGTGGGGAGCGAGCAGGGTGGGGGCAGAATAAGCAACAGTGATCGTCGAGCTTATGGCAAGGTATTTTTTTTCTTCACTGTATTCATTTGCAATAGATATTCATTTAATTTAAAAATGATTCCAAAAGAAAACCCTGTAAAAAACAACTATGTAAAGTGCCAATCCTCGACTGCACAAGCCTAGTTAAAACAGATTTCAATATGAACTCAGCAAAATTAATTATTTAACAAGTCTTGATCCTTGAAGGTAATTACAAGCGACTCCAGGTAACACTTTGCCCAATGCCAAGCATTAAAGTTGTAAACCACGACTTTATAAGTTAAGCAACAAATTCCATATTCCTTGCTAAGGCTAGAAATCAGCACATGTATAGGATTCGCAGAGGGGCCTTTCAGTATCCCAATCTAGACTGTACTGGCATTGTTTGACTATGCGCCACACGGCGAGCAAGAAATGTCAGCCTGTCAAATATAAAGGGAGTACATACGTGGAATATTATAAACAAAAGCTGAATGGTGGCCTGTTGAACGAGCCACATTGAAAACAGCATGAGCTTTTCAGCAGGCAGGAAAAAAAAACGCTGTCGTCTAAGAGTCTTGGCATCATCCCAAGAGAACGGCAAAGGATACGCTGCTTTATTTGTCTCTGCGTCTATGACAGCATCTTAAACGGAGAATCACAGCAAGAGCACAAGCTTTTTATAGCAAGTTAAGTGTACTGAATGTGTATATATATATAAATAGGGTAAGGTATACTCAAAAGGATGCCTTTGTTGAAGGTGCTTAATGGATTTGATTTAAAGACAATTGAAGAGAAAATATCATGGCGTATTACTAAAAACATAGATGATCACAATTAAATATTGTCAAATATTTCTTATCTTCTGTAACCTTTTAAACACATTGCATGTGTATATAGATATTTATTCATATATATATGTATATGTATATGTATATACCTTAACTGAGCACTCTTTCGCTAGCTCTACAGCGCATGTGCCGGTCGGTGTGGTTGCATGAGCGAGCGAACCATGACCATACCAAAAGATGAAATATTAAAGAAGCATAAAAAGTTGGCTTTTTTCCTTTCGTTTGTACACCACGAAGCTGAACTGCAGCATCCCCAAAATACATACGTGTGTCCGTATCCGTGTCCGTGTCTGAGGGTAGGTGAATGTACTGAATGTTGGCGGAGTTTTATTTAATCGTATGTGTGAATTGCGAACCACGTCGCATCGTATCATGAGTAAAGTAGTTTTTATTAATGGTCGTCTTTGTTTTATATGTATCTATTTTTTTTCTGCTTACAGCTCGACGTTGCTCCCGCCCGTTCGCATGGCAAACAGATGATAATGGCACATGGCGACATCAGTTAGGACAAGATACGTAGACAGGATATCAAAGGGGCTGCATATTGTACGCCTAATCAAGGGACATGGCTGCCAACGCAGCGGCGACATCGGCGACCCGTGAATTCGTGGAGGGCTGGACGCTGGCGCAGACCCTAGGCGAAGGTGCCTATGGCGAGTAAGTGGCAGTAGTGCATCCAAAATCAAAGCCATACTGCATTGTAATGCATCACACACGTTCCCACCTCCCTCCCACCCTGTGTATGCGTGTGCTGAAGTCAATAAACCGGAAATGCTGTGAGACCAAAAAAAAAAACGCACTTTTCCGGCGTATTTGCTGCATAAGCCACTCTCTGCTGCTGCTGCTGCCGCCCAGTTATCCATTTCCGAAGCTCGTTTTTGTGGTGCGCATGCCCCAACTATGAAGCATCGGAAGTGGTAACAGGAGCAGTGCACTAACCAGTGTCGGCACACGAGACAAAGACAGACGCAAGCGGTGGGGGATTGCAAATGCACTGGCAAATTTTCTCGCAGCAAAACTAAAGAGAAATCTTATCTTTGTGGCGCAGAGTCAAGCTGCTTATCAATCGTCAGACGGGAGAGGCCGTGGCCATGAAAATGGTCGATCTGAAAAAGCATCCCGATGCCGTGATCTCAGTGCGCAAGGAGGTGTGCATCCAAAAAATGCTGCAAGATCCGCACATTTTACGCTTCTTCGGCAAACGATCGCAGGGACACGTGGAGTACATATTTCTTGAATACGCTGCCGGGGGCGAGTTGTTCGATCGCATTGGTAAGTTGCACGAAATTCTGCATTATTATTTAAAAATCATCTACACTATCTTCTTTTTCAAAATCTCTAAGAAAACGCTTCGAGTTCATTAAGGAAGCATTGTTTGCTTCCATTTTGTAACAACTTTAAAAGAAAGGGTCTTTCAAACATAATGTGACAACCTTTAGATATGCCACGATGTCTTTGCAATAGTTGCAAAATCTGTATCTGAATTGGAGTTGCCTTGACTTATAACGAAGAACTACGCAATTAGGTGGAATAGAGCATTTTTCTCATTGTCTGATGCTGGATCTATTGAACAGCCCGATCGATATTCCTAGAGCACGTCCGTCTATCAGATTGTATGCTAAATAGTCTCCTTGTTTTTTAAGAATCCGGTTAAAGCTATTTATTGCAGTTTGTCCAGTCAAAAATTGGATTGTTCTGTGCCTAACTATGCTCCCGAAATATAAACAATCGGTTAATATTAAATACTAGACATCTTCTCATCGACCTTGTCGTTTTCAAATAATTGTATAGTATATAATAATAAAGAATTTACTTTTATGTTAAAAGCAGTAAAACTTCAGTTCCATTATGACCCATTCGAAATGGGTCTTACAGGTTCCTTTTTACATTGTCATTACAGTAATAACTTTGAGCCTTATCTATTTATTTAACTTACAGAGCCCGACATCGGAATGCCACAACATGAAGCCCAGCGATACTTCACGCAATTGCTCTCCGGACTTCAGTATTTGCATCAGCGCGGCATCGCCCATCGCGATCTGAAGCCGGAGAATCTGCTACTAGACGAGCACGACAATATAAAAATATCAGACTTTGGAATGGCCACGATGTTCAGGTATGCTTGGGCTGCTCTCATCGCGGCACCAAATTGCTAGAAAACAAACATCAACTTATGATATAGGTTGTTACATTAATCTAATCACCAATGGAGTACGAATCTATATGCTCAATATATGAATTATTAACTGACCATTTAAGAGCCCAATTTGATGCCATTTAAATCCTTCTTTTCTTTGCCTAACTTCTGTGCCGACTCACATTTGCCTTCTAGATGCAAGGGACGAGAGCGGCTGCTGGACAAGCGATGCGGCACTCTGCCGTATGTGGCTCCTGAGGTTCTGCTAAAGCCCTACCATGCGCAGCCGGCGGACATTTGGTCGTGTGGTGTCATATTGGTTACGATGCTGGCGGGTGGTAAGTACAATAGAAATTGCACTTAACGGACTTTTGTTGTGCTTTTTAACAAAAACATTGCATATCGTTGGCTCTTCTGTCGTTTGCTCGTTCTTAATTAAAATAACGGCACAGTTACACGTTCAATGTCATTCGGATTTGTCATGTGTTTTGTGTTTGATTTATCTCACAATTCCATGTTTTGTCTTACCCACACACACGCACACACACTCTCACACAACACACACAATTTGAACTCTTTCATTTTTGCTGTTTCTTTGGTATTCTAGCTGTAGATTGTTTTTACAGTTTGTATCATCTAAAGCTTTTATACCAAAGCTCCAGCTTAAATTGCTTGCCACCGCCCGCACCCGCCAACATCAGCATCAGCCTCAACAAAAACAAAGACAACAACAACAACAAAAATTAACTGTAATATGGCCGAACTATTACAAGAGTTGAAAAGCGACCTGGTCACACTGTTAGTGCACGATTTACACATTTTGAATGAACTTCTAATTTGCACGGATTTAACTCATCAAAGCACATCTTGCTATATGCCTAAGACTTGTTATGATCGGCGCATCTGAACTATTTTATTTTTCGTTCCTTCTTCTTTTTGTCTATCACCTCCTCAGAGCTGCCGTGGGACCAGCCATCGGCGAGCTGCACGGAGTTCATCAATTGGAAGGACAACGATCGTTGGCAAACGCAGACACCGTGGAGCAAACTGGATACTTTGGCCATATCCCTGCTACGCAAAGTTCTGGCCAGCAGTCCAGGTGGACGCCTCACGCTGGAGAAGATTCTCGACCACAAATGGTGCAACATGCAGTTTGCTGAGCATGGTAAGAAACTTCAGCCACCAGAGCCGTGTCAGTCGTGTTTTTCCGTGCTGAACTCCCGTCCTGCACACCCCGCTGCTCAGGTACTTAGTGACTCTCAATCATCTATTGCTTTGCATACCTTGAGGGTCGCTCTGTGCCTGTGCCGCCTGTGCTGCACAACCAACGACGAGCTGCATACGTGACCCTGACCGTGACCGTGACCGGGAGTGAAGTGTAATTGCCGGGATTAGATGGACGCCGCACTGCCGTTGCTTTGGCGCTTTAGCTGTATGATAGATTTGAATACTTCATAAAGCTAGATTACCAAAGCATTGGCTCTGTGGCCAGCTTAGCAAAGTTGTGAAACGATTTAATTAATTTAACTTATAATTAATAGGTGCACCTGATAAATATTAGTTTATTTGTTGCCTTTTTATTTTGCATATTATTTGCTCTTTGGTGATTTTAGCTGTATGGTGTGCGCGTATTCCATAGAGCTTTATTACCAAAAACCAAATGGTTTTTGCATTGCTTGCTTTTGTTATTCAGTTGTAATTATTTTTTCGTTTTTTTTTTTTTTTTTTTTTTTTTTTTAATTTTTTTTTTGTTACTTTCCTTTCAATCGACTTTAACGGGCTTAACCATTCTTGCAGATCGTTCCTATGATTTGGTTGACTCGGCGGCTGCCTTGGAGATTTGCTCGCCCAAGGCCAAGCGGCAGCGTCTGCAGTCGAGCGCGCATCTCAGCAACAATCTGGATGACTCGATATCACGCAACTATTGCTCGCAGCCCATGCCCACGATGCGCAGCGACGAGGACTTTGATGTGCGGTCCCGCAACAGACATGTCAATGGCCAAGAAGACGGTGACAGACAGGCGCTGGTCCAGGAAGCACGCTTAACCTACTGCTTCTCCCAGCCGGCGATGCTGGATGATCTGTTGCTGGCAACGCAAATGAATCAAACGCAAAGTGCCTCACAGAACTACTTCCAGCGCCTGGTGCGACGCATGACCCGCTTTTTCGTGACCACGCGCTGGGATGATACAATTAAGCGGCTCGTGGGCACAATCGAGCGTTTGGGTGGATACACGTGCAAAGTTAGCGACGATGGCGTTGTCACAGTGTCCACCATTGATAGACGTAAGCTCCGCTTAGTATTTAAGGCGCATATCATTGAGATGGATGGAAAGATACTCGTCGACTTCCGGCTGTCAAAGGGCTGCGGCCTCGAGTTCAAGCGTCGTTTCATTAAAGTTAAGCTTGCCCTGGAGGATATTTTACTAAAAGGACCAACAACTTGGCCAATTGCGATTGCAACCAATTCGGTGCCCTAGATTTTAGTACTAATAGACATAGAGTTTTTTAAATTAGCCTATCATTTGTTTGTAATCACAATTCATGTGTCTTTTTTAACTTTTTTACTTTATACACAGAATAAGTATTTCAAAGAGTTTTTAGTTTTGTTAAATGTTGAATAAGTATTTTACTGTAGTTAGCTAAACGTTATGAAACAATAAATTGACACTGATTATGACGACATTTAAACAAAATTAAGATCGTAATTTCTATATGAAAATATGTTAAATAAATTATAAACCAATTTATAAATCACAACTGGCTTTATGGATGTGGAGAGCCAGAGAAACGAACGTCCGCTTATTAGAATTTTACATAGTGAATAGAGTATGCCGCAGTCGGTTTTCATCGATGGCAAACTTCTAAATTATTTTGTGAAACTAAACATAGATTATTTTTTCTACTGACAATAAATATACAGAACCAGATGAGATTATTAAATTACATGCAGCTTGGAAACTATCGCTAGAAATAGAATTATAGAACAGCAAATTTGATGTTAGGGCTTTACAATTTTCGTTGATTTTAATCAGCATTGAACAAAGTTCCATCCAGATGGGATGGTTCGATAATTAGGTTTACTGAACAAGAAATCAAATTAAGGAATAAATACACGTTTTAGTTAACGATTATTTATTTTGCAATCAAATCGATTTGAAGAGCAAACTCGTATTGCATATTTTCAACAATATTTATTTCACATCTACTAACACTTTGAATAAAAGGTATCGTATATCGGCTTCTAGAACATGTGATCTTTATTCGCTTTTTTATTGAGTTGAAAAGTTGATGATTTCATTCTATGTCTCAACCAACGTTACAATGGTGGGGAGAAGCGGTCAATCTATATAAAATTTTCACAATGATATTGCCTTAAGAGCCGTCATGACTGATTAGAAATCTACTTGTAGCCCATACATAAGTTTATAAATAATGAGTAGATCATAGTAATGGTAACAGTAATAATAGTGTCTAATAACGAAGCAATATTTGGGTTTTATAAATTGGTTACTTTGTGCGCCAGACACAAATGTAAAGGTTGACGAACACGTACACCAAATTGACACCTCTCCTGTTTAGCTTGCCGCTGTCGGTTTTCATTCGAATGGGTGCTTGGTGTTGTTGGAATTAATAAGTGGCGATATTTATTGTGGCTTCCTGAAGCTCTTGCCGGCGAATTTAACGCCCTGGCCAATCTCTTCCTCAATACGCAGTATTTGGTTGTATTTGGCCAGACGCTCCGAGCGGCAGGGAGCGCCAGTTTTGATCTGGCCTGTGGAAAGACCAACAACAAGGTCACCAATGAAGGAGTCCTCGGTTTCACCGGAACGATGAGAGACCATAGTTCCCCAGCCATTCTTCTTGGCCAGCAGATGAGCCTGAATAGACTCTGTCACTGTACCAATCTGGTTGACCTTCAGCAGCAGACAGTTGCAGGCGCCCTTCTCAACGGCGGTGGCAATGCGCTTGGGGTTTGTGACTGTCAAATCGTCACCGACAATCTGTATCTTGGTGTTGGATGTCAGGTTGGTCCAGGCATCCCAGTGATCCTGATCGAAGGGATCCTCGATGGACACGATGGGGAAGTCCTTGATGAACTCCTGGTACAGGTTAGCCAGTTTCTCTGGCGTTAGCCATTGCGCCTTATCACTTTGTGGGTTCTTGAAATCCAAATCATACAGACCATCCCTGAAGAACTCAGAGGCGGCAACATCCATGCCGATCTCGATCTGCAATAGCAATATAATGAAAAATAGATTACATTCCGGTTTCAGCTCTAATTTTTAATCGCTTACCTTGCCAGTGTAGCCAGCCTTAGCGATAGCATCGCTGATGAGGCAGAGAGCCTCCTTGTTGGACTGAATGTTGGGGGCGAAGCCACCCTCATCACCTACTGCGGTAGCATCCAAGCCGAACTTGGCCTTGATGACGTTCTTCAGGTGATGGTACACCTCGGAACCCATCTTCATGGCTTCGGTGAAGCTGGTGGCACCGGTTGGCAGGATCATGAACTCCTGCATGGCCAGTTTGTTACCAGCATGGCTACCGCCGTTGATCACGTTGAAGGCGGGCACAGGCAGAATGATCTCCTTGTTGCCAGCTAGATCTGCAATGTGCTTGTACAGCGGCACATTTTTCTTGGCAGCACCAGCCTTAGCCACGGCCAAAGATACGCCCAGAATGGCATTGGCGCCGAACTTGCTCTTGTTCTCGGTTCCATCCAGCTTGATCATGAAATTATCGATGGCCGCCTGGTCTGTCACATCCAGATTAGCCTTGATCAGCTCGGGGCCGAGCGTGTCGTTCACATGGCCAACGGCCTTCAGCACGGACTTGCCGTGGTAGTTGGCCTTGTCGTTGTCGCGCAGCTCCAGAGCTTCATGCACGCCTGTCGAGGCACCAGAGGGTACGGCAGCCCGGAACAGGCCCAAGTCCGTGGTCAGATCGACTTCGACGGTGGGGTTGCCACGCGAGTCGTAGATCTGACGTGCTTTGATCGACTTGATGGTCATGTTGCTTTCTTTTGAACTGCAAGCAAAAAGTACACAAGTGGAGTCAAAAATATGAACAAAATTGTATAACAGCGCAGCAGGATCGTTATTTGTTTAACTTTACAATTATTACGATTTTTTCTTTTGTAAAGAGCACATTTTTTAGTCGCATAAGTTTCCTAACGGCAATTTCGTGGTGTTGGTTCTACTTTAAAGATTAGGTAATTCTTTACACATTTTCATAATAATTTTGTCTGTTGGAATAAAAAAAAATTAAGGACAAATATTGTTTTCCCCACCCGCAATGCAATTCTTTTTTCATAAGTGAAACGCGGGAGAGGTGGCAACATTGCTTGCTCAAAGTTTGTACGTATGACCTCTACGCGGCGCTTTAAGGTCACAGCAAAAGTAATGAGCATAGCAAGGCGAAGCAAACAAAATTTGTCATATTTAGATGGGAAAGTGCGAATCTTTTCACAAGCATAGCAAATTATTACATCTTTACATAAAACTGTAGAAACGCCCACAGGAATGAGTAAAAAATATATATATATGCCTGCATATATATGTGTATATATGTATAGTCAGTATGCACACAGTAAAAGTTGTTAGATAACTTTAGCATTTGTAGAAAGAGAATTTGCGATTAAACAATTGATATCAAAGTAAAAGCAAAAATAAATTAAAATATATAACACAGATGCAATCTCACACGTATACATACCAAGAACTTTTAAATTTCAGAAACTTAAATCCAGACGAGAGCGACTCTATCGAGCTTCCGGCTTGGCTGGCTGATTTGCTACTGAACGCAAGCGTCGGTCGATGCGATGAGAAACCGAGCAAGGTATTTTTTTGCTGTACGTGCTTTGCTGTCGGCACTGATGAGTGCAGTAGGGGGTATACACGCACAGAGCGCAATACTAAAATACTGGCCATTGTTGCTGTAGATTGTGGAACATAAACTGCCGCTATGACCGAGTATGCGTCCTCCAGGCGCGCTCCGGTGAGTGGAACTTGTGGGCGTAAGCGTAAGCTGGCTGCCGGCAACTCAGTGGGGGTGTGTATGATGGGATTGACCTTGTGCGAAGGTTAGGCGTAATGGCATCCACATGTGGTTTGCATTCGTTGACAAGCTGGAATACCTTTTGGGAAAAATAATACAAATACAATAATAATAGTAAAATCGCGCCAAACACATTGTTTCTCTTAACAATAATGTAGCAGTATGATAACATTAAATATATGATGGCGCTTTCCAACACTAATCGGAATTAAGCGCACAGCACAGCAGCAACATCGATACCGAAATATCGATACAAAATCAACAATCTGTCGAGCACGCGGCCGGCGCTGTATTTTGTTTTGGATTTTCATAATGTCCATCAAGATGAGTATTATTATGCCCGGCGAGCGCGTCACGATTGTGGAGGATGCTGCCAAAAGCAAGCGAATCATATTAGGCCCGGGCCTACGAAGAGTGGACGAAAAAGTTGTTGCCACCAAAGCCGGCCCACTGCGTCACAAGGAGCCCAACACATTTTGGGTGGACAACTATCAGCGGCGTTACGTGCCAGCGCGGGGAGATCTCATTATAGGTATAGTAAAGGCCCGAGCCGGCGATTTGTATCGTGTGGACATTGGGGCGGCGGACTTGGCGTCAATTTCGTACCTGGCCTTTGAGGCAGCCACAAAAAAGAATCGGCCGGATCTCAATCCTGGCGATCTACTTTACGCTCGCGTACTTAACGCCAATGCGGACATTGAGCCGGAGCTAGTGTGCGTCAACTCGAACGGCAAGCGCGGAAAGCTGGGTGTGTTGCAGGATGGCTTTTTCTTCAAGTGCAGCCTAAATTTAGGCCGGCTGCTGCTGCGCGAGAGCTGCCCCGCCCTGGCAGCCCTTACGGAGGAGCTGCCTTACGAGATTGCCGTGGGCGTCAACGGACGCATCTGGGTCAAGGCGCACTCGACGCGGGAAACTGTGGGTCTGGCGAATGCCATTATGACACTGGAACAGGCAGGCTATGCGGAGATTGACAAGATCTGCGGGAATCTGAGTGGCGTGGTGCAAGCGTGAACAATTAACAAAAATTATTTACAATTAAAATTTGGAAATCCTTTCCTGTTGTAAAAACGAACGAAGTTTCAAGTTTTGAGAAAATGTGTGCGAGAGAGATAATTTCTAATTACATTGTCTGAGTAAAATTTCGTTAAGCTATGTGAGTTGAAATTATATTAATTTTAAGGCTTTTTCCGGCATTTATTTAGAGCATAATGTCATATATTTCTAAGTTTTTGTACCCACATTTTCCAAAAATAAATTGTTTACCTATTCACTAAAGTCCGTAATTTTCTGTAGCACAAATTTGTTTTTTTTTTTGTAGCGGGGCTGCCACATTGTTTAAAGCAAAGGCAAATCAATCAAATTATTGGCAACCCTTTGCGCACTATTTAAAATATTTCATACTATTTTAAACACAGGATATTGCGAAAAGCCCCTATAATGAACTTAACACTTCACTTATCTCGAGTAATTATACAGAGACTCACATCTGAAAAATATTAGCATTTGCCATGATATTTGGTATATTCACACACACACACACATATTTAAATGCCGATCGCATAATAAGCTCTGATTTTCCAGTGTTGCGAAACGGCCTTTTGAAATTCGTGTTTGATTATTAGGACAAAGAGAAAGTAGCCGGAATTTGGTCTCATTCACGCTACCTGGCTCATCTCTTTGCAAGATCGCATCACTGGGTTGCCAGAACAATCGATTGTACATGAAGCAAACAGCTGACTGTGTTATCATTCCACAGAAGGCAGGTGTCTACGCCTTGTCGAGATAGTGCGTTGCATGAGATACGCCAAAGTGCAAACTACCATAAGATGAGTTTTCTAGAGCTTTTGCTTATGCTCCTGGTGCTGTACTATGCCGTCTATGTATTGCTCTGGATAGTGCTCGACTGCAATGTGGCCTTGTGGTACAAATCTCGATTCGGGAACTCGCTCTCGACAATGCGTGGACAGGTGGTATGGATAACAGGTGCCTCAAGCGGCATTGGACGCGCGCTGGCGGTTAGTTTGGCACGCCACGGAGTACGGCTGGTGCTCAGCGCGCGCCGGGCAGAGCAGCTGGAGCAAGTCCAAGCTGAATGCTTGGCCGCGGCGCGTGGCCTATTGGCGCAAAAGGATGTGCTGATACTGCAAATGGATATGTTGCAGTTGGACAGGCATCAAGCACACCTGAACACAGTTCTCAATCACTTCGAGCGTCTGGATGTGCTGGTCAACAATGCAGGTCGCTCGCAGCGCGCCAACTGGACGGAAATCAAGATCCAGGTGGATCGTGATCTCTTCGAGTTGGACGTCTTTTCCGTCGTGCATCTGTCCCGACTAGTTGTGCGCTACTTTCTGGAGCAGAACGGCGGCCGGGGCCACATTGTAGCCACCTCGAGCATAGCCGGCTTCAGCCCGGTGCCCTTCTCAGCGACGTACTGCGCCGCAAAGCACGCGCTGAATGCCTATCTGTATGCGCTGAAGGTTGAGCACCGCAAGCTGGATGTGACTATCTTTGCGCCTGGACCCATTGCCACAGACTTTTTGCTGGAGGCATTCACGGGCTCCGAAGGCGGCAAGGTCGGCCTGAGCACTGTCAACCAGAAGCGCCTAACTGCCGAACGTTGTGGAGAGCTGTTCGCAGTTGCCATAGCCAACAAAATGGATCTGACATGGTGCGGCTTGTTTCCGGTGAATGCGATGGCCTATTGCGCACGCAATCCGACGCTCACGAAAATTCTGGGCCAGTTCATGACCGAGAAGACGTTGAACAAAATTCGCGAGGGCAAACTATAAGATAAGTCGCATCTTATTTTATAGTTTTATACATCAGTACATTATGTAACAATAGTCTACTTATAGATAAAGAAATGTACTTTAGATAAAGTCTAATTCTTGGCCAGCGCCGCTTTTATATGCTCCGGAATCTTGACGCGTTTTCTTTTGGCCTTTGTCCGTGTTGTCTGCTCTACGCCCTGCAGGGCGGGCTTTTTCTTTTTGCTCTTTTTACAGGAAAGGGGATTCGGATTCTTTGGGCCCTTACATTTCTTTGGATGCACAGGTGTCTCGGTCGGCTTTAAGCCCTGTTTCTCCTTCATGTATTTGATTTTTTCTTCCTGCTTGCCCAGCATCAGATTCTTTGCTCGCTTTTGCACCCACTTCTTAGATGCGTCCGAGGGTGCTTCCAGCACGGGCGTCGCCTTGTGCAGGTACAGAAGACAACGGCCGGGCACCTTGCGCAGACTCGCCTGCAGCAGTCGATCCTGTGACGCGACTATATATCTATTGTCCTTGGTCTGCAATTCAAATGGTTGTAGTTGCAGGTGTTACACTAACTAACAAACGCTTACCATGGATTTGAGGCATTCCGCTGCCGCGACGGGTTTTCCCTCGTGCCCGCACTTGTGCACATGGAACTGCTTGACAATTGTCAAGGCGCCCGTCAGGGGAGCGCCTAGCGCCTCCGCTTCCAGTATGATGCATTGGGTGGTCAATAGCTTGACATTACATTGGAAATATTTCCTTATCTGTTCCTCGATGCCAATTTTGTGCTGGAATTGGGAAGACGTATATCACATTTGTGCATACTAACCGCTTGGTTCTACACACCTGTAAGGCTGCCTGGCAGAAAGTTGCGTCGATAAGCACCTGATAGGGCTCGCGATAATCAAAGTGTGTGGCAAAATATGCCAGTGTTTTGTGCGACTTTTTGAAGCGGGATATTTTCATCACGTTGTTTTAATATATCAACAAAACGCAAAATTCTCGATTGTACGTTATCGATAAGTATTACATGTCTTTTTCAGCGATAGTATTTTTTGAAATGTTATGCTTATCGATAAGTCATCGTTTCTTTTCGACGTGCAGAGCTACCACCTGCAATCGACGGAGCTGCCAACTCATGCTAAACTTTGTTTTCTGTTGTTAATTAATCGCGTGACATTTGAAAAATGTTTAAGAATGGCGCGAGACACGAGCAAATAAATTAGTGTGTGCAGTTCAACCACCCTTTAAGTTCTCACCCTCTGTGGCCATATTCTGCGTTCTGTTTTCGGCTCAGTAATATTTTAACTGCAACTGCAAGCACGTAAATACTTTAAATGTGAAATACAAAAAGAAAAAGAATATATATAAGATAAATGTGCAATTATTATAGGTTATAGGTTGACGCAGAAAAGTGGCATTAATATCGAAGTAAGAGTATTTTGTGCGATCATCTCATATTACAACTGAATTTGGAGGACTTTGTATGTTTCGGGAGACATTTGGCCCAATTTCCAAGGTACAAACATAAATGATTTTTTGTTTAAGTTGTAATTTTTGTTACCTCGATTCCTATAGATGTTTGTAGAGTGAAAACGGGTATATTGGTTTTGTGCCAAATCCGTCTGGCTGTCCGTCCATCTGTTCGTAAGAGCTAAGGCTTCACATTATAAGTCAAGGGCCGCTGAGCGATCGAAGCAGAGTATTACGCAGTCGGGCTGCAACATTCTAATTTTTTTTTTATTTTTTGCATTTGTCATGTTTTTGGGTGCAGCTTTTATGGCTCGTGCTGTGCAGTTTATATGGCGTGTGCGCTGGTAACCTCCTCCGAAGTACTTTGTCCCTATAAACGACAATCGCAGTAAAAAACGCGCCTCTTGATTAAACTTGTGCGGTTTTCAATTGTCGCCGGCTTCGGATTTGGCTTTACGCTTATCAGCTTGATTAGCTGCGCTGCCCGGGCTGTCGTTTCTCCAATATATTGGTCAAGTTTATTTATTTATTTATGATAAAGCCCATGCATGCAACTGGGCAACACTTGAGTCCATTCGGTTCCGTTCACTCCTTGAAGCTTGTCACCGCAAATCTTACAATAAAGTTGATTATCTTTTGCGAGCCCCTTCAATTCAACTCGTTGAACCTGAGCAAAACTATATAGAGAAATTTATATATAAGCGACGTCGTGTCTGAGTACATATTCAAATGTGAACTTCTGTATTTATATATGTATATATATATGCATATATTTGATATATTTTGGGTTTTTAAAGAACTCGCCATTCAGTATCGGGCCACTTATTCAGCAGCACTCCGGCCGGGCTTGATTAGCTCGTGCCCCGCATACCCAATCATTCGAATCTGAGAGTCTTACTTACGTCAAAGGTGTCTTGGCTTCCGGTGCGACGTGAATTCTCGTCTCGAAATTTTGTTAATGGGCCACCTCAATAAAATTGTATATATATGTATATACTATATGTATGGGATTAAGTTTTACTTAATGTCTCAATTAATTCAATTTAAACGTTAAAAATTACTCAAACATTAGGCTGGCAAGATATCTCGTCTGCATGCCTCTTTTTATAGGGTATTAAGTTATCGGTTGAAACAGATATGGGATTACGATTTACTTTATGTAATTTGGATTTTATGTAAATGTCTAAATTAACTCAATTTAAACATTTGACTGGCAAGATATGTCATCATGCTCTTTTTATAGGGTATTAAAATGTCGGTCAAAACAGATATGGTTTTAAGACTTACTTTATACAATTTGGCTTTGATGTAATTGTCTAAATTAATTCAATTGAAACATTTGACTGGCAAGATATGTCATCATGCTCTTTTTACAGGGTATTAAAATGTCGGTTTTGACAGATATGGTTTTAAGACTTACTTTATGCAATTTGGCTTTTATGTAAATTTCTAAATTAATTCAATTCAAACATTAGACCTGCAAGATATCTCGTCATGCTCTTTTTACAGGGTATTTAAATGTCGGTTTTGACAGATATGGGATTAAAATTTACTTTATACAATTTGGCTTTAATGTAATTGTCTAAATTAATTTATTTAAACATTTGACTGGCAAGATATGTCATCATGCTCTTTTTACAGGGTATTAAAATATCGGTTATAACCGTTATGGGCTTAAGATTTACTTTATGCAATTTGGCTTTTATGTAAATGTCTAAATTAATTCAATTTAAACATTAGACCTGCAAGATATCTCGTCATGCTCTTTTTACAGGGTATTCAAATATCGGTTCAAACAGATATTTAT